ACAGTTCAGTTTATCTCGCAAACCTGCATCTTAGTAAAGATATCAATGATAAGCTTTCGTCAGAATCACAAGAAGGTGCCACTGCGGTTACTGCTTCGTCAAAGATGCGTCTATATGTTGTTGTGGATCAATACAAAATACTGAAACACTGTCTCCAGGTCGAAAATTGGAATTTTCACTGTCAGGAATGAATATAAATAGCACGCTGGAAGTACCGTGATCTTATGCAGTTTTATATGAGGTAACCATTCATCTTACACAACAGAAACACTAAGACTTTGATAAAGATTCTCACTGACGTGATTCAATCCATCTACCAAAACAATGGTCAGTGCGTTTTAGTAATGGTACTTCCCTGAGTTAAGATATCACTGAAAACCAAGCCTACATTTAGTAGAGACTAATTAACTAGTTGACTGTGAATATAAATAACTCATCAATGGAATAACTGTATGAGAGACTGGTCCCTTTTCAAAGTCATTTACTGTTTAACAAATGTCATCTACTTACTAGTTTTTAACCACATCAAAGCTTTTGAGTCAGGCTAAATAATTTGTAGATTTCTCACAAATATCTGCTAGACTGTTTTGCAATAAAAACAAGACTTCCTACCTGGAGATGGATAAAGCAAAGGAATTAGTGCTCCATTTTTATAGAAAGTACACATTTAAATCTCACAAGTTCACGAAAGTTGAGATAAATCGAATATACTAATTTGAGTTTAACTTTGTTGTCAGGACGCTTGTGTACGCGTAAACTAAAAACGATGTGAACATCAAAAAAACAACCACAGGTTCACTCCCAAGTATTGGTTTGATGTGATATTAGTACATTTGGTAGCTCATGGAGCTAATAACAAAATAATTTACTGTTCTGACCTGATTGTCACTACCTGATACAACCCATTATATATTTGTACCGATATTCAAACAATAACTTTCAGATTCCACCCTATAATGGTCACTCAGTTTCTGGATGATAGAAAAGGCTGTAATATATTAGGTGTAGTGTGACGTCAAAAATGTGTACAAAATACAAGGATTTATATATATTTACATTGATCTTGTCTATTTCTAAGCCTTTTTAGATTTGAATATCCCATTGATTTTCGCCCCTTCAACGAGTCTGATATTTACACTTTGGTTCACATACTTTCTCTCGAAACTTCGGTGCAGTGTGTTTGGCTGTGAAAGATTCAAATATGTGCAGCTTTTATGAAGATTATAGCGATCTGACACCACACTATACCATTTACTGAAATCGTTATGTTCTGTTCATTATACTAAATCACCCAAGAAATGACCTAGAAAACATCATATGATAATTTCAATTGTGTGGCCAGTGAGAATTAAGTGATACTCAGGATATTTGAAAGGAAAAATTTATTTCTATTTTGTACCCTTAGTTCACATCTATTAAAATATTAGGCTCTATTCGATTCAAATACAACTTAACAACATAACCATTAAAAGAGGTGTCTGAAAATTTTGGCAACAGGTTATTAATAAAGAGCACACTTAGTGCAATGCATGGATTACAAAAATTTCTATCTAACCGGCTGAACACACCAGACAGGTATTTTGACGGAGTGATCCATGTTAATCATTGCATGTCTCAAATTCAATGGTGTCTCAGTTTCATGGTACATGAAGAAAACACTACGATACTGTAACTGATCTGATAATACTGTCAAGATTCACTGATTATTAAACTTACTGTACTTGCTGCCAAAAAGTAAAACGATTAGAATAAATTACTGCAAAAATGAATGAGTTGAACAAATAAGTAGGTGTGATTTTGTCAAAGAGGTAAATGAATATGATACAATCAGTTAACTGGCTTTTCGAGAGTATCAGAAAAGTCTACCTTACTGGCACAAAAAAGCGCCAACTTTTAAATGAAGCTAAATCATGTTAAATTGCTGTTATGTGAATGACTTTGGGATCTACTCCCACTAAAAGATTTGAACTTATCCTATTACATGTTGTTATTCTTGTTAACTGTCTTCCGAGCATTCTGCTTAAGCGTTTTTTTGTAAGTTCCCGGCACTGAGTTGTCTCAAAGCCGAACGGAGTAACTTCATTTTAAGGTATACCTTCTCTTGTTGACCGCAGTCTATGAAAGATTTTTCAGACTAAGTATCCTGTACTATGAAATGTAAGCCAGAATGGTATTTCAATATTACCTTCCGTATCTCGCAATTGGATACCTCGAAAAGTAGAGTATACACAGAGACGTTTGCTTATTGTTTCTGTTCATCCCACTGCACTTTGTAAGATTATCACAGCATATTCAAAGGAAAAAACTGGATTTGGTTTAAATTCATTGCAAAAATATATAACTTAATTCAGACTTCCTCTTTTTCTAATCCTAGGTTATATCTTTCGCTCTTTTTCTACTCATAATCATAAGTTTATCAGTAATTATTTAAAACAACGTTTTTATTATTGGAGACAAAAGCTACTTGTCTGTTTCATACATATTATCTGTGAAAGGATTATGTAGGATAGTGTTAACTAGCCACGACCTTACTTCTGTTTCATCCTAATTATTTGCTCCAATGAATAACTATAATTGTAGGATTGTCAAGTTTCGCGTCCACAGAATACACTTGTAGAGGTTATCGATTCGTATACGACATCATGTCAGGTTAAAGCAAGATTGTGTAGAGCGTTGGACATATTATTTCTTCTGTTCACAACAACGAGTAGATTTAACAACTCGTAAATTAATCGAATGACTTTGTTCTTATCGCCGTCGTTTGAGTAAGCTTTCAGTATGTCAACGAATAAGAGCGTCGAAGTCTTAATTTATTTCCCTCCTGTTATGAGTTTTATTTCTGGTTATTCCTTGTTGTTAATCCCCGAAAGTAAAATTCCCATGATAAGACATTTCACCAGCCTAGCAGGCACTCACTAGCATATATTTTCGTGAAAATCTGAATTTGTATAGTGATATTCGACCACTGAAACCATGAAAAGAAGTAAATTCGGCTTGTGGTTCACTCAAACCCGAACTGTAATAAACTAATTTACTCCGACAACATTGTGAAATCACTTTTCAGACAAAGTAAACTATTGTATTGGAGGTAATTTTTACAGATGCTATTCTGACAATAGTTGTAGTAAATGTTCATTCTTGCAATTAGTTGTTTTATGTAACTGAACAGGCTAAAATCAATTCAAAAACTGATTTCGATAAACAACAAAATACTGACTCAGTTTAGCTGGAAAATTTGAATATTTACTAAACAACCTAGTCTAGTCTAACTTTTGTGTTAATATTCGTGAGACTAGTTAGCTTAACTTTACTACAGTGTGATCGTTACACAAATTTAATTTGTCTCTGAATACTCAAGGTACATAATCGCAAACTTGTTATGTAATACACCCTTGAGAGCAATTTTTGCATTTGTTTCACGTTTCTTATTTTGCCTACTACATAAGTGTTCTTTTTCTTTGAGACTATCCAAAGCAGCCATGGTTTGATAGATTGGTGTTGCTAATGTTGGTATGTTGGTATCCCGAGTGATGGCAACGTTCAGACCAGAGGCCTCATGATTATGGGCCTGGAACTCTGAAACGCATCCATGACAGTCAGCTATTGTCCAGATTCTAACTTCGTATGAAGTAAATTTCCTCACTATAAATTGTTTTTGTCTTTTTTGCAAGAGACATACATAATATATGGAAATCAAACTACAACTGAAATTTAGTCCCTACTTAGTAATAACTGAAGGAACTTTTCGAAGGGGAATCAGCCGCAAAGAAATTCACATGCGGAAGGTATGAAGTTGCCTATGAGTTCTGAAGGTTGATTATTCTGTAGATAAGTTAACTTTAGATAGGTCCAAGAAATAGTTTATAAATGGTAATATCCATAACACAGAACGAAGGCTTTATGTTACACGTTTTAGTGTATGTGACTTCAGTATGAAAAATCTGGATACTTATTGAGATATAAACGTTTGGATGCTACAAATGGCCTATTTAATTGATACTGCACACAGTGATATAATTATATATATATATATATATATATATATATATATATATATATATATATATAAGACATCGTTTTGAGCTCAATTTATTGCTCATAATAGTATGAAAATATTAAAATAACCATTTCTGACAGGGCTAAAATAAAGTTTTTTAAATGACATCATAAATGTTCATTAAAATATTGGGTACATCCCAGTAGATAATGAGTACTTTGCTTGTCATTTCTGCGTGTGTTCGATGGTGACGAGGAGCAGATGGTGTAGCTGTTTATTTTGTCGTTAATAAAATAACCGAAGTCACCAGATCTAAAAAGACTTTATGGTCCTCGCCTGTATGCAAACGTCGTAGACTTCATTTAATCACTATAAATTACCGAGTATTTCACATCAGTTCTGACTACCATTGTCATTGTTAACCTGCACTAAATACTGCGCAATACTGCTACATGATGACTAAGCTATTTTAGCTGACTTCAGTTCAGTTTACATCAGCTATAGCCCATTTGTGAATAAATATTTTTCATCCTTGATATGAACTACACTGGAGTGTAAAAGTGAAACTTTGTTTATGTGGTAGGTTGAAACTTCCTTATGTTTTGCTTTTCAAATGAAATACACAGTGAAACAGTATTAGTACTAGAAGATCCTCTCAACTTCTGATATAACTATGCACAATGAATATTGCTATTTCAATCAGCAAAACAAGTGATAAACAGGGTAGAACTGGTTTGTAATAATGTTGAACGTTTTCTGTCAGGTTTTGATGGTAAAGGCAAAGAGAGCTCGTTTTTAACTCACTAATTAGGGTTAATAAAGATTACTAGGGCGAGAAGTATCTTATATATTCGTCAATGTTTTATTAAAAATGCCTTGGAATGAACTCATCAAACAGTAATTTAGTGACACATCGTGTCTATGCATATAAATAATACTACCTAAAGTCATGGGTTAAATCGTATACATTTTGTTGATTCTCATTTGTTTTCTTGTTTCACAGTGCTCCAGAAGTACATTGTCAATGGAACAGCTCTTATACATGTTAAGAGACATTGCTTGTGGTATGAATTACCTTGCACATCTGAACTTTGTTCATAGAGTAAGTCGATTTATTTGCTAAATATTAACTGGTCTTTTAATGTGACTAGCACTATATAAGTTGTTTTTAGCTAACTGTTTTCAGTGGTTTGTGGATTAAGAATGTAGAAATACTTTTTGGTATGATTTGAAACAGTTAGTCCCTTTTATGAATTTCGATAGCGTAATTAGAAGACGAAGTTTATCTGAGCAATATGATGCAATACATTTCAAATGTTTGGTATGATTGTCTACCATACTTCAGCTCAAATACTTCAAAGTATTACGTGCATTTTGACTGTGAGACATTAATTTACATGCATTTTAGTGCATTTTCTCCTCCTTGTTTTACTGAGTGTGAAATGTAAAAACTGTTTGTCTCCTATGATATGACTTTTAAAGTGAGAAGTTTAGGTATAAATAAACTCGCAATAGTGTAAATTTCTTTCTGTCAGCCTTTGTTCTTCGCAGTTGGAGCAAGTTGATTATGTCTGTGGTAACGCCAAAATAGCAGATATATTGTTTGCAATTCTGTATAGTGTCTGTTACTTAAAGATAAATCAAAACTTAAATAAAGTGCTTTTCCTTTTTTTATCGGAAAAAAACTGATCAGTAGACTAGATTTCTTATTCCGAAGTGTGTTAAAAATTTTAAGAATATAATATGACTATTATACATGTCTCTTTGTATCTCACATTATATTTTACCAGGATTGGTTTTTGATTTGTTTATTTGTTTTTCCCCCGGCATCTACTTTGATTCCTAAAACAGCTCTAATCTACTAATGAAGCAGAAACACCGAGCTATTAAGAGTTTAAGATAAAAATTTGATTCAGTTTACATATTCTCTCTGCGATCAAGTAATGTAAACACTTCACTTTTGGAAATAATACTCATTTTGTCGTATGGAGAGATAGACTAAACTCATGGCACCAAACATTTTGATTGTTTACGCTAACCGATTAGTCTTCATATTATTAGTTACCAATGAGTAAGAGGTAAAAAACTCTTCCTTGTTATTTGTCGTAAAAGTTAAGAAAGAGCTGCAGATCAGCTTCATCTCGATCTGTTTATTAATACATTTAAAGAAAGTGAGAACAACAAACTTTGCGGAATGCAGTGAATTTTGTTTACTCTACAGCATTTGTTGTTTTCGCTTTGCTAGCGATTTGAAGAGAACTATCTGCATGAAATATCTAATGTATTCTTTAGAAAAGTCATTTCCTACCACAAATGTTAAACTATTGTAAAAATGTCTCAGACTTATCGGATCTACAATAGAGAGTAATTTTTCTGAAAATTTAAGGTGATATGTTTATATCTTAACATTGAGTAGTTATTTAATTATCCTGTTTTGGAAAGTTTATGGGTACCTGTGGACTTATATATTTTTAATTTTTTTGATGCTAAAGGATTTAGCAGCTCGCAATATACTTGTCGACAAGTTCAATACATGCAAAGTATCAGATTTCGGTTTGACTAGGAAGGTTGGTTCAGATACCACTGAGGATGCATATACATTCACCGTAAGTTATAATAATAATAATTATTATTACTATCGCTTTGTTACACACAACATATATGGTACAGTATGGAACTTTCAGTAGGTATTATTCTGACAAAACACTCCGAACATGATATGTTTAAACGAACTAATTAGTGGGTCTGAGTAGTGTTAATAACAAAGGTATTAAAGGCATCAAACTGAAGCGGGTAGCTGTTGTTACACTAGCGTCTAGTCTAGACTTGGAGACGAATCCCAAATCGAGTGTAATTAAGTGATGCTATTTCAATCAACTAGTGTAAAATCTGCAATACGTTATAGACATCTTCGAAATACAAGCAATTGTGTCCATTTTCATCTGGCGCGATGTTTTTCTCTTCGCTTCCTTCTTAGCTTATGAAACAACAGTTTAAAAACATTTTAAAAAGGTTCGAGACTACGTGATACATTTACAGGACATACCTTAAAAGTAAAAACAAACAGAAAGTGGAGAATTGGGTGAAGTATATTCGGTGGAAAAAGTTGTTGGTAGTCACAGGTTTAAGCAGGCTGACGAATAAAAAACAAAAGAAAGACACTGCAGTGTTCCTTTTATTGAAAAATGTTCCTGCTTTTGATAAATAACTAATTCTATTTGACTTGTTAATCTATCTAGTTCATAGTAGTCATATTGCTTCAACTGGCATACGGTCGTTGGAGTTTTCAATTACACCGTCTACCACTTACTTTCACCTTTACAATCTTTCTTTTCTACATTACTGCGGACTGAAAGTTTACCTCATATTGTGCATTTGCCAGTGTAATAAGAAACTGTGAGCACTTATCATCAATCATCATAATCAAATCTCAGTAATATCGAAAAGCTTTTTATCACAAATACTCACTTAGATTATTTATGAACTATGAATATATGAAGATTCAAATTTTCTATTAACTGGACTGTTTATGAAGCGTGTAGCAGGAAATGGGAGACGGGAGTTCTTGTTAACATATGCTCAAACCAAGCTGGGATTCGATGGTTTGAAAAGTCTTTGTTTTTATTTCTTACACAGTTTTTATAAAGTCATTTGATTAGAACAGTAAAATGTCAGTAAAAACATTTTTGTTTGTTTTATCACTTATTGGTAAATACAAAAAGCGTTATATTATCTGTAAAATAGACTAAACAGAGATTTGCAGCACGATTGATTCCGGTGTGAAAACGTTTGACTTCGATTCCTCGTGTCGTCATTTAACTTACATAATGAAATTAATTTGTTTTCATCAGTGTAGTTAACTATGAGTATCATCTGATTATTGAGTATTTATCTGTATGACTCGTAAATTGATCACCAAGTTGAAGTAAGAAGGTTAATCATCTCATTGAGTTGGCAATATAAAGGATTCCGACTTATTGAGGATATTTATTCACATCACTTTTTCTCCTTTAAAGTGTTGAATTTTGAATATCTAAACGAAAGATGTAGTCACTGTACACTCTTTATATCCTGCATACATGCTGTTCCAAGTATAATAACTTGGATGAATCAGACTTATACAGAAAGCCTTCCTTTGTTACTCCATAGTGACATTTCTTTAAGATAGATATGCTAAAGTAACTAACCAACAGCAGTTATTGTGGTATGAATGTAAACAAACAGTAAGAAAATAAGTGGTTTAAAACTGTCAAATCCATCTTACATTTTAGTGAAATTTTAACCTAGAAGGGAATCAGTATTGTTAGATTGTTTTGGAAAATTGTCATTAGGGTTTTACAGCTATGGTTATGATATGGAGAACATTATTTGTTAGTTTAAATAATTGGCATTTGCAGTGGGCAAATAAAGACACTGGGTATGAAACTTTAAGTTAGACGGATTCTTCTTCCCATGTTTTTTCTTATATCATTGTGACGTTGACTGTATTACTAAGAGCTAGAAAATGACTTGACTACATCACTATACCTCTGTTGTATTAAAATTGCAACCTCTGGTGTTCAATACATTTTGAAATAATGATTTACATGCATAACTGTTTCCTTAGTGCCTATATTCTCTGTCCATAATTTTTCGATATTTTTGCAAATGAAATCTGAATGAAAAATTCACTAATTGACACTTTGAAAAGGAGAATCTATAAAACTGTAAGTTTGAAGTGATGGAGAAATCCTCTAAATCTTGAAAATGTAGTTTAGACAGCTCTCTTTACCTTATTTGGCTGTCAAAGACAGAGTTCTTTAAACATTTCTTTATTACATTGATTTTAGGGTGGAAAGGTTCCTATACGTTGGACAGCACCTGAAGCTATAATGTACAGAAAATTCACAATTTCAAGCGATATATGGTCGTTTGGTATCGTAGCCTGGGAATTGTTTAGCCTTGGGGAAAGACCATATTGGAACTGGACAAATCAAGCTGTAATTGCGATGGTGGAAAAAGGTTATCGTCTACCACTACCGAATGTTTGTTCATCTGAAATATATCAAATTATGACTGAATGTTGGGATAGTAATCCTGAACAAAGACCAAACTTTAATTCAATTTGTAAACAGATCAATATTTTTATTGGTAACTATCTTCAAACAAACAAAAAAATGGAATACTTAAAGGTAAATAAACTAAGAACTGATGATATTTCTATGACCTCTTCATTGAACGAGGACGTTGCTTATTGTCTTCTGCCTAAATCGTATGAAAACAGTCTACTTCCAAAAGGCAATTACAATACTAGCAGTAATAACAATAATGCATCACAAATTTCAAGGAATTCATCATATAAAATTTACACTTCCTTCTCTTCATCTAATACATATTTTAATGTGAATGCAGTAAATATAAGTGAAGCAGGTTCGTCGCCTAACAGTAATAATGACTTTAAAAATGACCTTGTATCCGGCGAATTCGAAGAAAAAACACTAAATGACCTTTTTGCTAAATATGATACCGGTAAATTTTCAACAACAAGTTATTGCCGAGACAAATATCCACATTATTCAATTAATCATAATGCAAATGAGCGTAATAATGAAGCAATAAGTGAGGGGTTCTCTTTAATAAAACCGAAGTGCAACGTGTACGCATAATCTTAGCGTTATCCATTGTGCTTTTTTATATTTGCAATAGTGTATGATTTTAGCTGCAGTAAGAATGTTTTGGGAGAAATAATTTATCATTGGACGCTTTATTGTTCAGTATACATAGTTTCTTGTCGATATATAACTTCCATATTCACTCCTTTTGTGATTTTCTCCTTGTTTTCATTGACGTATGACTTAGAGTCTTAATGCATTGTGCAATGTCTTCCTAAAAACAAAATTTTACCGATTCTTTCAAACGAATTATCTCTTATTTCTGTTCAGCTGGTTCTCTTCTGAACTAAATACAAAATTGCTTATGTACATGTATCCACATAGTCTTTGGATATTCAAATCTACTGAGTGAGAACTTCCGTTCTTTTGAGATGTAGATATCAAAGTATAAACATTTTTAAATATGTATAGATGAGTATCAGTTATTTGGTGCACATAACTGAGCCACAACCTGTAAAGTTTATTTATCATTTCCACTACTTTTTGAGGTCGTTGATTATCATTTAATGATCTTTGATTTACTAAGCATTCCACAATGAAAAATTGAATTTGACTTGATGATATATAGCTGTGTAAACTGAAATTACAGTCACCATAGTTCAAGCTTTTTTCATATATTTCAGCTAACTAAGTAGTAAACACGACAAAGTAATTACTGTAGTCTGAAATGAATAACGAGATTTGTACTGAGAGACATTCAAGACCTCTGTGCACTATTATTGTTGCGCAATACGGCTGAAATCTTTACTTTATGGTGTCTGAGGACAATGTTCCAGGTTGAAACTCAAGACAAAATTGAATATAACCGCATATATTTTTCAAGTTAGACATACCAATGATCTGAGTTACGCATGTCATATACTGCTAAGTGAATATCGCAAGTCAGAAGAAGGCTGTAAAAAAAGAATGCATTATATATAATAAACGGAGGAAATAATATTACGAAGTAACCCACCTCACGGTACAAACAACTTTAGCAGAATACTGAAAGTATTATCTCCTTAAAAATGTATATTAGGTTAATGTTATCTGACAATCACTATTTTCTAAGTTGCAGTAAACTTCAGTTTTACTTGTGACTATTTTTGCATAACTATTTGAATACCAAGTTGTGCTGTCAAAAAAAATGTGTATCAATCATGTTTAACATCTTAAAATTTTTGTCGATTTAACCAGAAAGCACAAAGTATAGAAAATCAAGTTAATTTAGACATAAAAATTGTTGTCAACATTGCAAACTGTATCAATAAATGGAACCCACGCTAAACGCTATGGATCTGACAGATGCATTCATGTTCATTCGGAGACCGGTTCACGAACACCCTACAGTCCTGAAAGGAAGTTGTAACGACCGAAATAGCTTTATGGTTACGTCATTGACTTAAGCAATGTATGGCGTAGCTTGCAATCTGTATGACAACATACCTTTCCTTAGATTGCATATATACCCTGGCAATGAATGCCAATAAGCATGGGAAATAGGTTAACGGCATCCTTTTAAAAAACAGTGCAATGAAAAATATACATCACCTTGTTTGGTGGCAACACTGCGCACTTGGTCAACAGCATTTGACCATCACTTGTGACTAAGCGTGTGCACGTATAGTCTTATTATTATTTTCACGGTATAATATGCTCTTTGAATATAAGACATTTGCTCTTCAAAATGGGTGGTTCACATTTCATTTATTATTTACAGTGTCACTCAATATCAGCACTGGAATGAACAAATCACAACTAACTACTTTTAAAATGTCTCTTTATGAACCATGTTCACTGGTGACTAACTTTGAGAGGTGATTCCTGAAGTTCTAATGAGAAGTCATGGTCGGTGGAGTAAACCTGGTGACTGTGAGGACAAATACTCAACTATGAAATTGAGTGATTGTCGTTGGAAATATGAACCACTGGATTCCGACCAAATGGCTCAATGATAACGTGCTGGTCGTGGAACCTGTAGCTCCTGGGTTCAATCCTTGGCTGGGTGGGGTCATGGGTGTGCTGTGCTATGCTGAAAAGTCTAATGATGGGAGGAAACAGCTGTCCAGGGCTCCCAGTTTTCTACTGTTCCATGATAAATACTATGGATACCATTTGATACCAAACCGGTTAGTAAACAATATTTCATCACCATACCTAGAGAGTAAAATGAAGTTTGATAGTCGTAGTACTATTTTACTCGATGAAATAAAATCTGTCCAAGTAATACGATTTAACTTAGGAAGTCACTACTTTATTATGGACGGTGGGTTTATTGAGAAAACAAGGTCTCAGATAATCTTCTCAGTAGCTAGTTATATACTGGATAGTAATGCAAATAGTAAACCATGCCGTTTTTAATTTGTGTTCATCTACTTGGCTTTTGCACAGCTTTAAAATAATTTTGTATTCAAAGTTAGATATCTTTTCTGGCATAAAGTAACACTCAAACCTTCAGAATTTCCTTACCTATAGCTTTTGAGTGGTAGCAGATTTAATAATTAACAATGGGAACGCTAATATATCGGTAAATATCAGTGTGAGGTCGGGAATGCGAAGTGATTTCTTCGAATTAATCTGATTTTATCACTGAATTTATAATGTGCGTCGTTAGAGTTTTGTAAAATTAGAAATATGAAGTTTTTAATACATACATAAAATATTTTTTTAGACAACAAATATGCATCACTGAAGTGATTGAATTGTACCGTTACAAAAACTAGGCAACAGTAAATAACATCATATTTAGTTACAACTACTAATCAAGCAATTTCGATGAATAATAGAAAGCTTCAGGAAGAAATTAGTTGATAACTTTAAAATAATAAATGTTAAGCACGATCTTAAGCACTTCCTGGCAGCTAGTTATTTCACCAGTTGGCTTTTGTAGTGACCAGAAAACTGATTTGAATTACTTTACCTTTAAATTGAATAAATAACCAAGGAAACGTTCACAGCGACTTTAAAAGTAATCAAAATGAAAGTGAGTTAGGAGGCTTTGATAAGGAGTAATCTAGCACACTCCGAAATTCGATAACACTTTCCCACTGGTTTGATTTTCGAAGATATGGTTGAATCAGTATAGGAATCGCTATATAGTTCCGTATAAATTAAGATTTACATTTTACCATTTCCTGCTATTTTTTCATAAGGTCGTACTAAGCGATATCTAAAACTCAGTTCTCATTTTCGTTTGATAAGTGTGTTGAGTGACGTGTCAAAATTGAGTGGTTGCTGACTACAACTCTGTGATCACTTGGGTTAACCTCGCAGATTTACTCAACACTCATTTATCATAAGAAAACAATAGTAATCCAACAACGTCTTAGCTAGACCGATGAACAAAAAAGTGATTTCTAATTAAAAGAATGTCAAGTCTTTCGATATATAACCTCATCCCACCTATGCATGTCTTTTTATTACTTAGGCCTCCTTAAGTGAACAAACAGTCTAATCAGCCACCAACCTAAAGCTCCCTTCTAAACTACTTTAGTTCAAACTGAGACGAAAACACCTTTTATAAATCTTCTGTGTAAAAGGTGTTTCATCGCATTTCTCACCTGTTTTACAGATTGCCTAATTAGTGAATTGTGATCATAGTGTTGGTAAATTTCGATGACAATACCACATGTTTTTATGAATACTTTGATTTACATTAATTATGAATGACTAAATTTGAAGACAATTTTCAAAAAGTAGATGCACAAAATATCCCATTTTTAGAAACAGTAATTACCTCAATAAATGCAATCACCCCTTAATCATTCCTTATGAGGTATCAAAATGGATTGACGGTGTTCTATTAAGTAAAAATTAAAATGTCACTTCATCTAGAGTTGTTTTCCCTAAATAATTACCATATAATCTTGCACAGTTATGCTTAAAAACCATTTAGAGCAATTAACCGATTTAGGTAACTACTCTGTCATGAAGGAAACTTTCATAGTAGACTTATTTATAAAGATATAATAAAATACACTTTATATGATAAATGTAGTAGGCGATATCGAAGAATTCTTACTGAGGGTATCGTGCCACTATCAGCTGTTTCACTAAAATTAACCACCAGTCAACAGTAACATAAGGCAATACATTAACTTATGATAGGCAGAACATTTTTGATGTCTCTGAAGTACAAATGTACCACTGTTTATGGTAAATATTGAGCAATAGTGCAACAAGGGCATGCATTCCGAAGGTGAATATGCTTTTATTGATATTTTATACTTATGAAGTTTTATTTTTAGCAAGTATGATATATCCACGGTGTTTTCCGCTTTCAAGAAAACTAACAATTATCCACTTTTCCACAGTATCCATGAATAACGAAGTCATGTCTCATTTCCTTATTTATTTCTAATTTCAGAATTCAAAAGTCAATGTATACATTTTTATTTATTAACGTGTTGCTGACGTAAACGTGCTATAAATACGTCTTAAGCAATTTACTCACTGCTGTGTATCAGGTTGATAATAACGTAACCTCCAACAGCTTAAGAATTCTATACTTCCTTTAGATTTAAGCGTGTGCAATTACAGGTAATTTTGAACCTCAGTCTACCTGTTTTGAAGTAGCCAGCGCTAAGCATTTTCACATTTTGATAGTCTAAATCATGTTTAACATCCCCTACAGCATCGTGCAACAATGAACACCTCCCAAGAATATATTTTTCTTATTATTCTTGCCTGATACGTTTTGATTTAATCTCTTATCTCCTATCTTTCTTACTTTGAATAAAATAATCTGGATAATCACAGAACGTTATAAAAATATTATTGTCACAGTTTCTTTGATCATTTCTGCAGAAACCAAGTAACCTTAAACAGGTAGGTATAAGGAACGAACTTACAGAATTCACCTAAGCATTTGGATTTCCTTTACCCACCATGAACATATTTAGTGTAATTTGAGGTCACAAGTGTTCTTAATTCACTCCCTTAGAATGTTGTAGACATATCCTTTTAAATTATCACTACTGAATAGTTTCACAACATTTATAAAATATTAATTTTACAGAACCATCATATTCCGTGGGATTATAAAGGTGATACAACTTTAAGATTGAGGAAAAATTCAGTAAAAGTATTTCTTCTGTTAGTCACAGAATTTCACGTTCCAACAATGTATACGCTAATGTAATTCCACTGTCATTAAAAAACGATCGACTAACTAGGACGTAAACTTTACCTATCTTGTTTAGAGACATTTTAAGGACATTAGTCTTAAAATGCTACTTTATATGTGTTTGAATGAACACAGAACTTAGAAAATAAGAAGGACTTGATCAAAACGCTTAACTATGATTCCCGTAGTTTCTGAAAAAACGTGAGTATTCAGTCACCAAAAACATCTCATATTGTTCTTATCATATATGAATGTAGTATACGTTATTTGTGAGTTATTAAAATTGTGAAGATCTTTGCAAACTAATGTGATCATATACGATGGATGGTCACACTTCTGAATTATATAAGTAGCAAGTAGCTTGACTTCGAGTTAGAGATATTGAATATCCACATGTCTGTTGATATATGAGGATTACGCTTACACAGTATTCTGTGGGCAGAACAAGTTTCATTTGTTCTATGTTTTAAGAATATCTAGAACAGGTAAATTCTAACGTTAGGTGGTGGGAAAGAGCCGGTACGAAGCCATTCTTGGTATTTGCCAGTAAGGTAGTCGATGTCTCCTCAACAGTCGTAACCCATATCATCTACTACTGTCAGAGACATTGGCTTGTGCTTCGTTTCATGTTTGAAGTAAAACTTTTACTTAAGTTAGACCTCTGTTTTTGTTATTATTAAGAAAAAGACAAAATAATCTGGGTTTCTGGTGCAAAAGATTGCACATAAAACAGAAAAGTAATATTCAACAATTTTTCCCGTTGTTATTTAACATGAAATAATCCAGCTTTGCGACATTTACTGGACGACTCAAAGGTGCTTAGTAGTTAGGAATTTAATTTTTTGTACGAGATACACTGACAAGCAAGCGGGTGATGATAATTACTACCATGAACCCTAGTCATTGTTACGTTTTCCAGGATAAACTCAGAAGTATAAGTATGCGTAAGTCTACAGAAAATATATACCTTAGTTAAATGGTTTACTTGAAATTTCATTTGGTATATCAAAAACAAAAGGCTTCACCGCATGAAACTCAAATCCCAGAG